GACTGGAGGGCGGGATAACTGGTGTCCTGACAGCTCGTTAAATCCTTACGCCAGAGCCCAGCAGATCCGGCCAGACGAGAATTTAATGCCGTAAATTGACTGCGTGAAATGAGGTTAATGCTCAATAATGCATGCGAGTAAATGCAGAAAGCCGCCTCAACTCTCCTCGCACTGCTTCTGCTTCGTTTTCCGACTCTGACTCCGGTTGCAGGTCCCTCCTCCACCATCCTTCTGCCTGCCACTCCACCATCCTCGTCCTTCGAGTCATGCCGTATCGCAGTGGCCTCTCTGATCCTGTGCTGTTGTTGTTTTCGTTCTTGTTCTCGGGTTATCGATGCATTGACACAAATGTTTTCCCAGCCCATATACACACCAGGACGTACACGGATAAGCCCATACATACAAACACAAGGATGAAATGTAAAAAATCTCTGGCGCTGAGGATTTTTGCACCAATAACTTTTGCTTTATGACGACAAGCACAGTGGGTCAAAAGCAGAGGGTTCATTATAAAATTAGGGTTATACATGCTCTTCAGGTCTAGTTTATCCTTTGAGCTAGTGATCTAAAAAGGATATACTTATAAGGAAGTCCTTTTAGTGTTTTCCTCCCACTGTCACTGCAGCAATCGGAAAGCTGTAAGGTAAGCCAGAGAGAAAATCATTAATAAAGCTGCTTAAAATTGCATTAACACTGCAAATTTATCCTTGCGCGCAGGATGCGTGTGTGTGTCCTTGCCAGACCGTTATAGATTGAACTCGATTCGACCGAGAGAGAGATTTAAAAGTCGGTAAGTTAAACAATTTGTAGGGCCGGAGTGATCGGAGGACGAGAAGAACGCACATACTAGCCCCTGCCCGCAGGCATGCATTAGCCAAGGACATAATGTCCTGCAAATTGTAGACATTTTTCAATTTAATGAGGTGCTTTACTCTAAATTTTTCACATACAACCAAAGAAAGAGACGGGAAAAGGCAGAGAGAAAGAGACCAACACTCGAACAGGCTGAGTTCTAAGTGCATCATTGAAACGCCAGTGTCCTGTCCGCCAGTCCGTCTGCCAAGGCCATTAAAATGGTAAATTGTGGCCTGGAAATTGCATCATTCTTTTGGCCAAGACAGAGACAGAGTGAGAGAGAGAGAGAGTAAGAAAGAGAGAGGGAGATACTTGGCCCGCAGCCTGGTAAAGCAAACGAACTAACTAACGCTGTACATTACTCATACGCCGCGTGCCCAATGACTGCAAGTGGATTGCGGGCAGGACATCATTATCCGCCCGCTTATGGCCCTGCAGTCGAAAAAACATCCTTGTGCATGCTCATCCTGATTTCCAGCCTTAGCCAGAGGCGTCTTATCCACAGGCTCGTCACCGTGAAGTGACTGGCACTCGGTGTCTTTCGTTTCGTTTCTGGCAGCGAGAAGAGGATATCGCACGGCGGAGTCCTGTGCCTTTGCATGTGTCAGTCGACTGCTAAATGTCAGCCACACCGAGCGAGACAGCCCGAAAGTAGGCAATCCTTTTTGTGGGCCATCTGAAGTAGATCCTCGCTTGATTGGAAAAGCATAATGATGTTGATTCAAGCTCTATTCCATGTAAGGTATACCTTATGTAATTTACTATTCCATGTTTCCTATATGTAATTATTTTCTTTGTTTTCTTATTTAAGGAGCACTCACTGTACTCTCCGGCAGCAGGCGTGAAGTGAGCTGAAAAGTGATGCAGAAAACGGGAGGACCAGAGAATGTATGGGCCCGATAGCTACGTCTATGTCTTACTGAATCCCTGTGGAATTTATTTTTCCAGCTATTTTCAGTGATTTACTGTTCACACACGCCACACTACTGCCTCTCCTGCCTCGCTTCGGTCTCGCTTTCTGAGCTCATCTTTCAGCTCACATTCTCCACTCAAAAAACAAACTTGAAGCGTGTCCCACACCACTCGACAAAGTGTTAATGAGCACCCAACAGACACACACACACACCCCACATACACACTACTCACTCACTGCAGACACTTCAATATATTGCGCCCTGGTTGCTTTCATTATACGTGTTATTTTCGCAGCCGTGCCACAGTGCGTATGCGTAATTTTTGTCACTTATGTAGTTTGCAGTTTGGCAACGAAAACCCGCACTACCCCTGTCTCCCCTCCTGTTAAGTGTTTGCTGCAGATTTTAATTTCGGCCACTTGATGTCTGCACCCCGTCTCCAGGGAGCCTCCTGGAAAAAATAAAGCGAGGAATTAAATTAAAATTTTAATTAAAACAGGCTCCTGTCCCCGGAATAAAGCAGCCACGATCTTGTCGCTGCTTGAGAGCCAGCTCAACGCTTCGGGCCATTTAATGAGTGGCCAAGTGTGGCTTTTGGCCATCTCTGGGGCTGTCAGCGAGCCGTCGGTATGTGGCTCGAATGACAACTTGACGGGCTCTCGTTCGGACCTTCAATGAGAGAGGAGGATGGCAAAGGAAAAGTTTACCTTACTTTTAAACTTTCTATTAATGGAACGGTAACAGTACCTTTTTGGCCAGCTTATGGGCCATTTTTGAATAAAATTGTATTGCGGTTTTCGGGCCTCAGCTGGAGAGTCTTTCTGCCTCATTCTGAGCCATCATCTTCATGGCCAGCAGCTAATGACCCTGGAAAATGGCCAAAACAAACGATAACGATAACTGAAGCCAAGGCCCGACCCGAACGGCAGGGGTCCTGGGCTCTAGTTGGTAAGTAACGAGGATTATGACCGGCTTCCAGCCATTTTCAACGTCATAAATAATATTTCAATAAATTTATATTTGCCCCGACTGCCCCCGTTGAGCGCTTAATTGTGTTAAGATGACAACACGGCTGCCCAGCTTTGGCCTGCCCTGGCCTGGTCAGTTCCCAGTCTATATTGTGGCTGCAACTGGGAAATCATGTTGCACGTTTCATTAAGATTAAGTCCCTCTGACAGGGCAGCGTTCTGTTGCACCTTAACAATTCCGGACAGGCAACAGCTGGGGAGTTTATGTGGGGTGGGGGATCGAGGAAAAAGTAATAATTGAATTGATTTCTTTCATTCATTCTTCGCTTTGTTTCCATCTCCTCGGGCCACTCGATGCGCTTAGCAGGATTTCACCTTCGCCCTCGCTCCCGGCTCGTCCTGGCATCGTCCTTTGTTTTCGCTTGCCAATTTTTGCTGGCCAGCGAAATGAAAATGGAAAATTGAATATTTCCGGCGACACAATGGGATGACCGCAACAAAAGCAGAAAAGCAGCATAGTACCAAAGCAGAATAGCTGACCTAACCACACAACCTCTCCCCTTTTCCAAAATCAAGCGTGACCTCTGCTGCTTTTGGTGCGATTTTTGCTTTTTTCATACTTTTTGTGACTTGGAAACTGCACAGCTGAGGTAAAAAAAAGAGCCAAGAAGGTCGTCCGATGCTCCGAGAATATGGCAGCGGGCGGAAACGGAAATAAGACAAGCGCCTTCAGATGCCCGAAAGCTGTTCGGGGTTGCGTCCCCAAGGACTCAATAGAGTGCCGTGCCGAGTGCCTTTCAATGGGTATTGGAAATATGATTTCTCTAAAAAATAAACCCAGTATTAAAATCAGAGTATATAAAACTGTGAAATCCTTTTTTTCATTAAAACTGTAAAGGACATGCATGTAGTTGTCTGTGTAAAATGAATCAAGTATCTATTCCGCGTAGAAAAAAAGTAGAATGAAGAGGATTATCCCACTTTGGCCACAATTTAATTACATTTGCCGCACTAGGGACTCTCCGCAGCTCCTCCCCAAGCTCCAAGCCCCAAAGCCCTGTAATAGAACCGCCAGGGCATTGAATTAAACTGACATTAAAATAGATCCCAAATGGGAGCAGAGAAAAAAATGCAAACAAAGTGGAAAGCAGGCGGTTGACGGGTAGGTGGATGTGGGCAGGCGTACACAGGCTACAAGGGGGGCCACAGGGGGCTGGAGGCTACAGGATGCATTAAATCCACCACAGAAAACAATGCACAAATCCTATTTGAGCGCCGCTTGCAATTAAATACATTCAGGGGCAGATGGGTTTGGGGGCTCGAAAGTTGCCAGTGGTTTTGGTCGCCAGACCGAGTGCTAGAACACACATGAGTCCTGTCCTGTAGTCTCTCCGTAGAGCCACTAAAGCCGGAAGTACACAAATCGCATAAAACCCAAAACCGGGCAGGCGACACAAGACGGAGCCGGGCTTAAAAAAAAAACTAAAAAATAAAAAAAGGAGTGACATAAAAAGTAAACAGCGTCGACACTGATTCAAAAATGTATTCAAAATGAGCGCCGAAAAGTGGGACGGAAAGGATTTCTTTTTTTTCGCAACTGAGGGGAGGGTGGGAAGGATATAAAGCCCTGGATGTCCCTGAATGGGGTCCATAAAACGCTCCAACCTCTCTCTCCCCGTCGCTCTCTTTTAAGCCGCATTACAAGTGCAGGAAGCTCTCGGAATCGGGATTACGAGTGGCCAAAATGCAGCTGGGTCCACCATTTGTGACCAAAACCGAAAGGGGCGAGGGTGGGTGTGGGGTGGGTTGGTGTTGGGGCCGGGGTTCAAGGGTCAACAGCGAGTAAACAAGCGACTTTGCGGCGCTTTTTCCCTGTTATCGAGCGCGTCCATTTGAATGCTTTTTTGTTTTTCGCTGAAATTTATGCCAAGTGTCTGATGCTTGAAATGGTCAAGGGGTCAGGGGGTCAAAAAGGGCTAAGAGCGAGGCGAACTTTCACGGATTCTAGTAAAAGAAATGTGAGAAGCAAATGGAGGATGAAGACTTGAGCCATTCAATTGGGAACTGAAGTGAACTGTTTACTTTTAAGCGGAAAAAGATCAAAGTAGTTGGTTTTAGGACTTGAACCTGCTAGCAGTAGCGGTCCTCAATGAAAAATCAATGATATTATACTATCCACCCATGATTTCTATACCCAGATTCGTCCAGGAATATCCTGGCATATGACACTTCCAGCTTATTCAAATAGAAAAGTCTATTAAAACAGTCTATTAGAACAGTAGGCATACACTCGAAATTAATACACTTCTAAAAACAAAAGTGAAAAAAAATTAATTTTATATAAGGATATAGTATGTCCCGTCGCTCGACTTCCGTTTCGTATGGCAGGGAGTCCACCAGACTCCGGGATGAGAAGGAGGAGAAGCAGCGCATAGCCCACCTGGAGGGGATCATCAACCAGCTGAAGAGCTTGGCTTTGAGTGGTCGCCGGGTGGGGAGCCTCTCGGAGGCCACCCTCATCTTCATATGCAGTTCGGCGAGAGCTCTTTTTCTGGCGCAGCCGATGCTGTTAGAGCTGCGGGCGCCGGTTAAGATATGTGGCGACCTGCACGGCCAGTTCCGGGACCTGTTGAGGATCTTCCAGCAGTGCGGCTTTCCGCCCACGGCCAACTACCTGTTCCTGGGTGACTATGTGGACCGGGGCGAGAATTCGATAGAGACCCTGACTCTGTTGCTGGCTTACAAGCTGCGCTACCCAGAGACCTTCTTCCTGCTGCGCGGCAACCACGAGTCCGCGGACGTCAACCGGGTCTACGGGTTCTTCGATGAGTGCAAGCGCCGCTACACCGTCAGGCTGTGGAGGGCCTTTGTCGACTGTTACGACTGCATGCCGGTGGCGGCCATCGTGGCGGATCGCATCTTCTGCGTGCATGGCGGTCTGAGTCCGGACCTGAAGAACCTGGACGACATCAGGGGCATCCAGCGACCTACCGATGTGCCCAGCGACGGCCTGCTCTGCGACCTGCTCTGGTCGGATCCGGACGAGAACGTCGGGGCTTGGGCGGCGAATGATCGGGGCGTCAGCTTCACCTTCGGACCCATGATCGTGGAGGGCTTCCTGTTGCAGTACAACTTCAACCTGATCGTCCGCGCCCACCAGGTGGTGGAGGATGGCTACGAGTTCTTCGCGGACCGCCAGCTGGTGACCATTTTCTCGGCGCCCAACTACTGCAACATTTTTGACAATAGCGCGGCGGTCCTGGTGGTGGATCCGAACCTGGTCTGCCACTTTGTCATCATCCGGCCGCGTCCCGCGGTGCGCGGTGTCGCCTATGAGACGGACAGCGGTGCTGGGGCCACACCGCCGCCCACATCGTCCACGCCGCCCCCCACGGCCCGGGAGCGGAAGGTGTTCTGAGAGGAAGTGTGTTGTCCTTGATGTCTTGTGCGAGTGTGAAGTATAGAATGTATTTGAATAAAGCTGATAATCTCCTTAGAGACAAGCAGTGCTGTGATCATTGCCTTCAATTGTGGCCTAATCGAAGGACAATTGAAGGTCGCAGGAGTCAAGCAGCCCCTGGGGGAGGAGCTGGGGCTAAAATGTGTAATAAATCTTCATTTAAATTTAATTAAAATTCTCAATGGCTGGCAAGAGAGCGGGAAGCCCCAACGAGGGATAGAATAATGGCACCCAGACGAGTGGCAGGGGTCCAGGAGTGTTGGGGGAGGGACGACTGGGAGTGAGGCAACAAGCGGTGGCAACTTTTGTTTGACTTTGTAAAATGTCTACCTGGCCACACTTTATGCCGGCGAAAATAATTCCAAGCGCAAATATTTAAATGTGGCCCAGGGACGTGGGTGGCCTCGGCCGGGGGACGCCCCCAGGAGGCGGAGGCAGAGCCCGCAGGCCAACTCGCATTGTTTACAAAAACCAGGCATCGTAATTTATACATTCATGTGTGTAAACATAAACAAAGGCTGCCAAGGCAAAGAAACCGGCGGGAGTGGCCCAAAGAAAATAACTTTAATAATCTCTGCAAACACAGAGTTTCCCAGGACCTTGTTTGCCTGTGTTAGTGTGGGTGTGTGTGTGTGCAATTACAGTGCAAAAACAGGCAAAACTGTCTGCATAAATATTTATTATGTGTTCGATTGCAGTGGCCGGAGGCAACAGCCTACCCTGGACTATGATTCCGTGTCCTCCTCACCTGGTGCAGCATGGGGCACATAAATCACAACTGCGGGTGGCTTTGCGGCAGCCTGCGGCCGTCCTGTATTGTAATTAATTTGTAATAATTTTTGTAAATGTTTATCGACCAGTTTTGTGTCAATTCGAATCAATTGTGTAACGATTTTGTTAATATTTTACGAGCGCGTGTAAATTATAGAGCCTATCAGGGGGCGATGGCGTGCGGCGCGACTTTCATATCGAATCCCTTTGATGGAAATTAAATATTGATCAAAGCGAATCTGCCTTTTCACACTTGGGCGGGGAAATCCCGGCCGCCCAGCCGCCCGCAGCCGTATGCTCCTCATAAAATAAAAAACGAAAGCCGAGGCACTTGCCTTTATGGGGCAAATAAAAACTTTACGTTGGCATTTCGGGGCTGGAAAGGCGCAACAAAACAGACAGAGGCTAAAATTAAATAAAAATGTAAGAGCCGGCGAAAGGATATGGGCGAGGGCTCTTAAAGGTGAGGGATGCGCTGGGCTGGGTGTCCTTTTTCCGCAGGACAGATGATGTATAAAAATGTCAACGGCAACAAGAGGCAAACTTGTAAGTGTCAGTGGCACACAAGAGTGGAGCAGGACCGTTGAAAACTTTACCGAAACGGTGTCAAAACATAAAACGAGAATTAAGCAAAGGAAAAAAAGGACACTCCCGGACTTGTGTATTTTTTTAGTGGCCCAACCTCTGTTCCTGACACCTGCGCACATCCTTGAAGATGGCCAGGAAATGAGAAAATAAAGAGAGCAGCGGCGGGACAAGGTAGGACGCCAGAACCAGAACCCGCACCTGAAGCTGATGGCTATAAAAAAGGACCTCTTTTTTCTTTCGCGCCATCTTAAAATTCGACCATTACCGTAATACTTAAAGGTTACCGTGGGCGGTGTGATATGGACGGGTGGGTGGCGTTTTGGGTGGCTGGGCGCTGGACATTCGCAGTGGAGCGCATCGGTCCGTGTCCCAGTTGCCGAGTTTGTTGCGATCCCCAATCTAATTGGCATGCAAAGGTCGTCACCAGCTGTCCACGCAAAGAGGGCGCCCTTGGCGGTCACCACAGGCGAAGGAGGAGGGACTTCTTGGAGGGGAATGGGTAATTTTTATACCCTTGCAGAGGGTATTATAATTTTGTCCAAAAGTGTGCAACGCAGTGAAGGAGACATCTCCGACCCTATAAAGTATATATATTCTTGATCAGGATCACCTCCTGAGTTGATATGAGCATGTCCGTCTGTCCGTCTGTCCGTCTGTCCGTCTGTCTGTCTGTCTGTCCGTTTCTACGCGAACTAGTCTCTCAGTTTTAAAGCTATCGACTTGAAACTTTGCACACACCCTTCTTTCCTTTGCACGCAGTATATAAGTTGGAACGACCGGGATCGGTCGACTATATCCTATAGCTGCCATATAACTGATTGATCGGAAATGGTATAACTTTGGTGTTTTTAAAGTTAGAAAGTTCTAATTTAACATGAGAGCTATTTTTGGCAAAACAATACGACGTGCCAAATTTCATAAGGATCGGCCGACTATATCCTATAGCTGTCATATAACTGAACGATCGGAAATGACCCAACTTTCGTGTTTTTGAAGATAGAATGCTGGAATTCCATACAGATTTTATTTTTGGTCAGTTGATCCAACCTACCAAATTTCATAAGGATCGGCCGACTATATCTTATAGCTGCCATATAACTGAACGATCAGAAATGGTATTTGGTGTTTAAAAATAAAAAAAAAAAATATTTGGTAAAAATAACAACTTTGTTTTTTTTGACGATAGAAGCTTGGGACTTTTTTTTAGATTTTGTAATTTAATTAATTGGTTTTATTATAATGTAATCATAAGGATCGGCCAACTAAATCCGATGTTTGCGATATATATCCGGTTTTAACTGCAAGGGTATATCAACTTCGGCTCCGCCCGAAGTTAGCTTTCCTTTCTTGTTATGAATAAGTTTAAAGCTGATTTTTCTGGAAAATCTTTTGAAGATTTTTATAGGAAATTATAGCTAATTACAATTAAGGAAAAGTATTGTCTTATTTTCTCAGTGCATCTCCCCATTCAAAGTTTACGCAGTTTTTACCGTTACACCGATTCGCGCTTACATAACGGAAAATCAAAACAAGGACCTTTGTTTTTGTTGTTCTCGCCGCAGCAGCCACGTGGAGCAGCAGACCTGCGAACAGCTGACAAAGCGTAAACAAAAGTCAGATGGTCGGGGGGACTGAGAGAGTCTGATGGAGAGAGCGCCACAAATCAGAGCTTTCGCGCTCTCTCCCCAATCGGCCTAACCGATTCGCTCACTCGCTCCCACACCGGATGCGAAAGCAGCTTCACTTTCATTCACTTTCTTCGTGGATATCGTCGGGGGTGGTTCGGCTTCTTTGCCAGTTGGCCGAACTCTGCAATCGTTTCGTTTCGTCCTGGTGCTGGTTATGCTCCTGGTCCTTGTCCTGGTCCTCGATAAATCCGCGCTTAGTTCGCCAGCAGAAGTCACCAGCTACGGTTCGGAGCTAGCTGTGATTTTTTCGCCAAAAACTCGTGAAAAACAGTGATACTTTTGCGGTGCGTGATCCGCAGTTTTGTAATTGCCATTGATGTCCTTCGGTAGGATTAAATATTAAATTCCCTGTGCCGCGCGCTAGCTTGCGTGACTCCATGGCGGCTACGTGATTTTTATGCAGTGCCGCCGCAAATAAAAAAATAAGAGAATATCCAACAAATAAAAAGGGAAACGCGTGCCACATCCGTCAATGGCCGTCAGGCTCATCCATACCCACCATCCCATCCATTCCCATCCTTGAATTTATTTTTGTGTATGTTTTCCCTCGGTTGGCTTTTGTTTTTGTCCTGGCCCGCCCTGGCTGCTTGCTTTCGTTCTTTTTGCGCCATATGCCACAGCCGAATTTGGCCCGATTTTGATTTTTATTGCCGCACACTTTTCGAGCCTCCCAGACCCTCAGCCCTTCCGGGTTTTTGTTGCGAAACGTTTGCATAAATAATTGAATGCGCCTAGAGGTGCAATAAAAACTGTGCCCCCACCACCCCTCCAGCCATTGGAATGTGTCCCGAATCCTTCGGATGTGCGCCTGGCCGGGCCAAGCAGGCATCCATCATCGGAATAACGATTGGATTTATTAATGAAACATAAAACGCAATGGCCCGAGACAGATAAATGCATCTATCAAGCAATTAAGAAAAGTCATATAAAAGTTGAATTGCCATTTTTTTCCAATCCCCAACTCGGCATAAATCACTGAAATTGATGAGAGAGAATAAGTGGATGCATTAACAGAATAAAGTCTGCACAATAAAAGTGCAGATGTGCCATCAAGAGCCAGGACAAACAGGACATTTGATTTGTTAGTCAAACCTGTGAGGCATTTCTCTGAAATCTACCTAAAAAATGGTCCACACTTTAAAGCCAAACAGTTCTTGGCCGGCCAGGTGGCAGGACCAGGGCCCCGTGTCCTTTTTGGCTCGCTGGTTGGTTGACCTCCAGGCACCACTAATTGCTGCAATTTTTCAGGCTCCACAGGCCAAAAGCCAACAACCGACTGCCAGCAAAAAAATATTCCCGCCCTGCATTCCTTTCTGGCATTTTTTTCTGCTTTCCGGCTTTGCCAATTTCCATGGAAATGCAACTGTGAATTTTTGATATTTATCAAAAAGGACACAAGAACGAGCCAGAATAGAATGCGAGGCATGGCGGCGGAGACTCCGAAATTTCTGTGGTCGTCCTCGAAAAGTCCTTGACATGCTGGCCCCATCTAATGAAGAATGATTGCCAGCGTCCCGCCTCCTGGGACGCCACTTCCAGCTCCTCCCTGGCACTGGCCTCTCACATGACTAATGATCGGGGCTGGCCATAAATCGACGAAATATGCCACTAAATTATTGCGAAGAAAAAACAGCTCGTCCTGCGATTCAATTATTGGGCAAATCGCTTTTTAATTAATAACAAATACATGAGCGAATATAATAGCGATTATAATGAAAATATTTGCAGACTTTAAATGCGAACGTGATGTGGATGTATTTTTTTAATTATTCGTTCAGTTTTTTCCGCCGCTAATTCCGTATTATTTCCAGCAGAGAATCGCGAAATGAACAAATAGATAGTGAGGAGCCATATTGTGAGAGATATTGTGAGAAAAGTGCAGTGTGCTGTGAGAAAACAGAGATGTGCCAGGGCACAGGATACCAATATCAAAACCGTAACCGAGACCGAAACCAAAGTCAAGGATCCAGTGCAACTGCCGCCGGTCGTCCCGGGCTGACGATGTGCCGGAACAAAGGACATACCGCCGCCGGATCGGGGGCCACCCATGCTAGCCTGTTGATGGTGACGGTGGTGGGGCTCCTGCTCCTGCAGCTGGTGGCGGAGGGCCTGGCGACGCCGTCTCCGTCCTCCATGCAGGCGCCACAGAAGCGAGGTAAGTCACACAGACAAAAAAAGGACATATGGGAGGACCTGATGAGAGTTTTCCAATATCCTAGTAACAAAATCAGGGAGCAGGAATTTCTTTCTGTATCCGATCTGCGGTTTGCGGGGAAAAAAGGCTCATGTCGGCCGGGAGAGGGGGAGGGAGGGCGCAGGGAAATGGCAAATAAATGTCAAATAACACAACCCCAGCTCCCCGGTCCTCGAGTTCGCATGTGGCCTGTGTGTGTTTGCTGTGTTGTGGGTAAATACTCGTAGGCAGGACAAAGGCGCACCACGTTGCGTATACGTAGCGTTGCCTTGGCAGCTGCTAGGATGCCATTGTTGCCCCATAGTTGAGCTCTATTGCTCGGTTCGGCTCTGGGTCTGAGGCTGGTGGCAGTATTTTATTAACATTACATTGCTTTCAACTCGGCCTGACATAATAGAAAATTGAATTGCCACGATGGCAGTAGAGAGAGAGAGGGCGGAAGGACATTTGAACCCGGCCAAGCCGTCACAGCTCGAAAGGAACCCAAGGCTAACCACACTGCCTTCAGTCCTCGGCGAGTCCTGCAAGTGATGCAATTAAGTGAACAGCTCTGAAGGATGCAAAACATAATTGAAGCCAGTGAGTGCCGGAGAGTGGGGTCCTGGCATGCGATAATGATGAGAGATGATGGGGCGTCGGAATGTTGAGTAGCTGTTGTGGTATGGAAAGTGGAGGCACTGCCTCAGTTCAAAGGGCAGTAGGGCAAAATCAATATTCCATGCCACAAATACTCTTCCAAAGAAATTGTAGAATGCAAAATCGAAATAAAATTGATGGATACTCCATCGCCAGTACTTTATCCTTTGAACTTTATTTACTTGCTGCTCCATTGGCTGCTAGGTTACTCGGACCAGGACCTGCCCCGGCTACCAGGCTACCAGGCTGCCCGGAACTTTTGCTTTCATTCGACGCTGGGGAACAATATTGTTGCGAGTCGGGTGTCCTTTATTCATTCCTTCAGTTCTTGCGCTGCCAGATGCCGCGTCTCGAGAGCTGCCAGAACATGCTTCATTTTATTATGCAACAACCCGGGAGGAAGAACCAGCACCAGCACCAAGACCATCCCAGAGACAAAAAAAATATTAGCAAAACTTGCTACTTTATAAGGCAATACGGACGCCCGATGGCAGATGAAACAAAAACCGTGGCGGGAAAAAAACTTGACGCGACATTGTCGTAAATAAGAGGCAAAAACTTTGCCCTTGTTTTGCCAAGGACCAGGACTTCGGGGAAGGAGGAGGAGGGCTGGCCGTGGCAGAAACTTGTGAATGAATATGATAAGTTTCCGACCCGACGACTGGTACTCTGGAACGGCCATGTGTGAGCGGCATGGCAGGCAGGCATCATAAATTTCCAGTGCTAATCCAATGAGGGGCCGGGCCACACTTTGTGGGGAAGGTGAGGTGAACTTTACGGGCACTTGGGCCGGCTCCCCGGTCCATGAAAGTTTTATGGTTTGTGGAGCGTGAAATATGCAACAAATCGAGGAGAAGGAAAGCCACAGGCCGCAGTCTGGGGACTCTCGAGTGTCAATTGGTTCGATAGGATTAGAAGAGTCTCAGTGGGCTTAGACCACCCGCTTGACCTCGAAGAAGCGCTTCATGTAGATGATCTCCAGGACAGTCATTATCAACAGGAGGGTGGGCCCGAATATAGACCAGGCCAGGATCCGGAACTGGACGCTGTCGCTGATGTCCAGGTGGCCACGGTAGCGGAAGTGCATGTACTCCTGCTCCATCTTCACGGCGCCCAGCTTCGCCGACAGCTCGTTGATCATGGCCTGGGCCTTGGCCTGCTCGATGACGTCGTCCTTGCGCTTGCTGGGGTCCACGTAGTACTCGAGAGCCCGGGCCACATGGAACTTGAACATCACCACCTTGGGGGTCATCGTGGAGAACTGGTTGTCGAAGCAGAGCTCGTACTGGCCCTCCCGCATGGCCGAGAAGGTGAAGCTGCCGGAGGTCTCCTTCTCCGACTTGTGCAGGCTGTCGTAGTTGGGCCCTGTGATCGTGACGGCAATGTCCTTGAAGCCGCCCTCCATCACCTCGAAGGTGATGGTCACCTTGTCGTTGACGCTGGCCTTATCGTAGAAGCAGTCCGTATCATGGGCATCCACGGTAATGATGAAGCCCCCGCCGGGCTTCACCACCAGCAGGAGCAGTATTCCAGTAAGAAGAATAGCGAGCATTTGTTCGACTTGACGTATGGAACGAGCTTGTGTGTGACAGGTCCCTGTCGGATAGACATTATTCTCCCGGGCTGAATAATTGAATGGCTTGCTAATTTAACCAGCTTGGATTCATTATGGAGCTGGAGCACCCACTCTTCATAGTCCTCCCCCTCGCAGGACTTCTGCAAACACCCTTCAAATCAAATTAAGTTGATAAAAGCAAATTGCAAATTGTCAGACCGAGGCAGCCCCCAATGCATATTTGATGTTATCGATTCCTTGGCCCATCAATTGTCAAAATGTCATGCATTTTTAATGCCCTCCCCGGGCGCCCAGTCGGACTCCAGGACTTTCGGTTCGACCTCCTCCCCCAAAATCCCATTCAATTGCAATTTATAACTTTTTGCTGGAAAATGTTCAAATAAATCCTGATGCGAGTGCTGCAAATATTTCAATTGTTCTCTTCTCCAAAAAAAAACTGGAAAAAAAGAAACATGTTGAATTTTGTAATTGCAATTATTTTTGGCCATAATTCCAAACCAGAGTGCTGAAGTGGACAAATTTGTTTTGTAATTTCCCGGAATTACTGGCATCGCAAAAATCACAGCTTTTGATAATGTTATTCCGCTAATTACTAATATTATTAAGAGCTTTTTGCTGAAATAATTCCCTCTTTAAAGGGCATATTGTACTGTGTTCTGGTTTTTACGAGGGGCTTCCCCAGTAAACAAAGCGATTCGGCCACAAAAATTATCGCCTCGGCAAGTAGCCAGCGAATTGATTCCTTTGCGATAAAAATTTACTTTCCCCAACAATTTGTTTATCGCCAGGATCTGGGATTCAGTGTCCTGGCAGCGTCAGGACCTCCATCTCCGCCGGAGTTTATGTCGCACCTTAAACGATTTTACGAGCCGTCGCCTCGATGGAAACTCCTCCAACTCCCCCAACTCCTCCAGCTCCCCATGAACTCCCAACTATTTGCCAAGTGTGCCACCCACTCTCCGGCTATCTCTTTCCCTGGAAACCTTTACAACTATTTGCTTTCTCCCTCTGTTTGCCTTTCTCCGAGCCCGAGCCATTCCGCACTTTTGAATATCTTTTATGATATTCAATTTCAAATTCTAATGCTTTAAGCGATTAAGTACACGCTTTACGCCACTTAACTTCATGTCGCAGACTGTAGCCAGTGTCAGCTGCTCTATGCCGCCCTCTTCCCCTTCCTGAAAGTTATCAGGTTCCGACCCACTCCCACTCCCACTCCCTACGATTCGCGGTATTTGCCGACTTCAGTTACTTTAGGCGCCGCCGCCAACACTTGATGCCTGCTTTCGGCTCTGCCGCCGAGTACACTGAGAGAAAAAGTCAGATTCTAGTTGAAGTCTTCGGGAGCATGCCAGATAGGTCTTCCCGCAGTGTAATCCTTTCACCTTCCTCCTGGAGGCTCTCCATTCTTCGTGTCGACATGACATCGACGCTCTTAAGTGCCAGTTCGAGTTCACCCCTGCCTCGTCCTTTTTATTCTTTCGTCCTTTTTTTTGTTCCGTGCTCAAGGACTTTTTGCTGGATATTTCATGTGCGTGCAGCAGCTTAGCAGCAGATGTGCGTGTGTATGTGTGTGTGCCAGGGAGAGGAGCGAGTCCTGGCTGGAATAGATGAGAGGGACAGATTTCGCTACGGTTGCCATTCGCAATGCTCCGGGCCTGGGCTTAAAGCGGCTTAAATTACGTATACGCCCCGTCGGTCAGCCCAGGATCTGTGGGTAATAGACCTCCTGCTCCTGCTCCCCCGTGCTTTGCATCTCCTGGAAGTAATTTTGTACACCTTTCGGACTAGTTTCGGCATCTACTCAATTATTATTATGCCGCTTGCGGGAAAACTTTCGAAGGACTCACGTCCGCCGGCTTTGATCTATTTTTCTGGCTTTTCTTTTCGCTCTCCTCTCCTCACCTCGTTGTGCGTGTGTCTCGACTTCATCAAATTGCTTTTGTGGCCCGTCCGTTCGTGCGTGTCCTAATTTGTTTGCAACTGTGTGCGTGCGTTGATTGCCACTTTTGTTGCATGCCCCGATGTCCTTTAAAGGTGCAAATCATTTCGTTTCTGTTTCAATTTTTTCAGAGCCCTGCAAAGTATGCTACAATTATCATAAATTAGCAACTGCCACTGAAGGACGAATATAAACGGAGCTTCCTGCTTATTGTAAACATCTCAAATCGAGTTGGCATTCGGCAAACAACTGGAGGCAATCGAAGAAAAAGGATCCTGCCAATCGAATGACAAAAAGGGGGCCACATCCTTCTTATGAGTTGGCATAGCACAGGAATCGTGCTAATCTCCACTTGAAAAACACTCGTCCTGGTAGTAGGAGGGGGATGGAGAGGGCTGGAGAATCCAAGGAAGTGGAAGAGCCATAAGAAATGAGTCGCAGGACCTTCACCAGGGGTGGGGCCAGGCTGTGAATGAGCTGTAAAAAGGCTCAAGTATTGACAATGCCTTTGGTCGGACTCTTTAGGCATCAATGCGATATCTTCCGCTCCTCCGCATCCAGTAATGGGCTGAGGGGCGTGGCAGGAGTGGGCCATGGCAACAAATTGTCGAATCTCTGGCCTCTTTTTTCGCTCTCTGTGGGGTTGTGGGGATTTATTTCAATTGGAAGTGCCGCCATGAGCTGTCAGCATGAATGCCCCCCTGCTCCCTGCCAGAGTTTAGCAATAAGTCAGCTAACGAGCTTCAATGAGGCATGCCAAGTATTTCCGGTGCACACACACTCTCACACACTAGAGGGAGATAGAGAGAGGAGAGCCAAAACGAGATGGAGAGATCAAATAGCTTGGCATTCGAGTTAGTTGTGCACTTTCGTGTCCTGTCTCCGAATTTTTGTCATGTGTTGGCATGAAATTTACATTAGAATTTCCTTCTAAAGGATGCCTTCTCAAATTTGCATTCCCCTGCAACAAAAACAACAAAGTGATAGAGACAGCATGAGCTGTCAGAGACAGAGACAGATATAGAGTCAGAAAGGACATTTTGCATAATTTCCAAAATTAAATTGCTTGCCAAACGTATACGTTTATTGACAATTAAGTATGACATTTGCTTGCAAATTAACTTTGTTATTAAAATAAATTAAAAAAAAGAGAGTATCCTTGGTCCTTTAGAGTGTAGACTTAGTCGAGAGTATACAACTTTGTGCGCTAATTGGCAGTGGGGTTTTTCAGCAAGGCCCCCTCCAATTAGTCCAAGTTTTCGGGGGCGAAGAAGTTTCTGACGCTTGTGGCTTTTCCAGAGAAACCGAAACTCCCCGCCATTCAATCACACACATCCTTGTCCATCCAGCCGTCCGTCCTTGGGTGGCGTTTGACATTTGCAATTTTGCGTCACGCTTGGAGGCCCGGCAAAAAGGTTTCTGTGGCTTTTGTGGCTGTCACTTGGCGACCAAGTCGATGGCAGTTCGGACATTGGACTATCGACTCTTGGCTTTGATTGAACTCAAATGGAGCTTGATGCGGTTAATGGGGGTGTGGGTGGAGGGGAAAGTGCCGGCGGGCTCCTAAATTATGTAAAGTGCGTGGTTGCTCAAGTAATGGAATCAGCCCGAAATTAAATCGTCTCCAATTATAGTCTGCCATAAATATTAAATTTACCCCCAAGAGCTAGGCATTTCGGGCCTGGAAAGTCATCTCATAAATCAAAGGACGACTGCGAATGATAATCACTTGCTGGTGCGGCGCATTCAATTAACAAATGTCGCCTGGCAACAATAACAACAATACCAGGCCAGAATTTAATTAAATGTTCCTTAAACAGGAGGCGGGAGGCGGGGGCCGAATTAAGTTTTATTCCCACCACCCCCTTATGGGTGTCCTGTTTAGCAGACGTGCGTGTGTGTGTGTGTGTAATCCGCACACACTCCCAGTCAGACCGACACTTTTGCGGGAGCCACGAAAAATTTAATTTTCTCACATTACTTGTGCATACTTGGAACTGCCGGAGGCGAAAAACCGAAACCAAAAACCGAACAGAGAGCACCGACAAACCGAAACGAGCACCTACCGCCCGTCCGCCCGTCCGCCCGTCCGCCCGTCCGCCCGCCCGCAGGACCTCAGTGAACACTTTAACGTATGCGTGATATTGAAACAATGTGAAAATTGCGCATACGCACAGTTGTGCCACTTCGCACGCAATGTCCTCCCCACTCCCATTTCCAGTCAGACCCAAAAGCCCAACCCTTAACCCCAGCCTGCAGCAGGACCCGAAAAATACTTTATTTGATAAGCAAGTCATTTGCATATGGCAAGTTGACAACCCCACTCCGGGGAGGGTGGCAGACGGGATGCCAGGATGTCAGGAGGGCGTGAAATTAGAAAGTTTGCTCAAATCAGCGTCGAGTCAAACATGTTGCCAGAATTCAACTGACAGTCCTCTCTGGCAGGTGGAGTTTAGACCTTAAAGTTCTACTATTGGGAAACCATTTTTTAAAATAATTGCAAAAATGGAGAATAAAAACATTGCGCCATTTATCGAGCAGTTAACCCAGCTCAGGGTAGATATTCGTCTAAAAAATGGCTGCCACATATCAATGTTTTATCGATTTCGGTGGATTTTCCGCAAAACTATCCAAAAATCAATTAATCTCTTTTATTTTCTATTCCCGAAAATCCCCACCACCAGCATGGCAAACGCGTATTTTACGAGCACCGAGTAAACTGATTCTCATCATAAAACTGGATTTTAAAACAACAGAAAGGACATTGAAAGGATGTGTGGATAAACCTCCATACACACATTCATATTTTTCCAAACAATTTCTCGAAAGATTCGCTGTCAACACAGAGTCTAAGCCCGGCCAGGACGTACATCATCGGCCATTATATAGTTCCCAGTTATCCAGGCCAAGCAACCGGCTTAGCTGGGTATCCTTCTACTCTCAGCCCAGCACAGCCCCCTCCTGAGGTAGTGGCGACAATATTTTTGCACAATTTCCATTTTATTATTGCACATAACCCAAAATGCCATTTATTTTTACAAGTGC